TATCCTTTCTCGTTTCCTCGCTCAATCTGATGGATGAGGCTCATAAAGCTTAGCCTCTCTTTCTGTCCTGCCTCCCCAACCTGACCGGAAATCTTGAATTCCCTTCGCCAGGGCGTCGCTTCTGGTTGGGCCCTACCAATGGTCGATGGGGATGAGGCTACCTCCGTCTCTTGCTTGGTTTCCTTAACCTCACCCTTGGTACCAATGGCGTCCGCCACCATCTTCCACGTTGCCTCTCCATGGTCTTCGCTGTCCGCCATCTCATCGCTGTACAGATGGTTTTTAACAAGCCTCACGAGCTCTGACCTACCCCTTTCCTTACCTCTACTCACCCTATCCTCTGGCAATCCCAGGGCCGTCAACACATCTATGAGTCCCTCTATGCTGCACCCGTTTACATATAGTCCCTCGGTGACATCATCTATAAGGCCCTCCATCCTGGTTGTTGACGCTCTGGCTACTGTAGGAGTGGTGAGAAGCGGCTTGGTCTGGATCAGGTCAGTCTACCCCGCTCGTCTCATAGGATGATGACTTGCAGCTTTAGTCCAACAAGGACATCAAGACTGGTGACATCATCCGGGCAGTGCCTCCAAAATGTTACACCCCTATGGCGTGTAGGGATGGTTACTCTAAATAACTGGAAATAATCAAAGATGAGGAGAAACAAGTCAGTTGGTGTACTCAGTGCTCACTCAAAATGTAGAATGACACATTTATTATCTCCATAATAAATATCAACGAATGACAGAAATCATCATACAATAACAATATTGTAAGAACAAACTTTCTAGAATTATTATGTTTTCCGTCTTCTTATTCTCATGGATACATAACCATAACAATTGATATCAAACATCTTGTACATCACACTTCTTAACAACTTCATCCTTAAGGATGTTCCTTTGAAATCGCTCAATACTACATGTGAATGTACTTTAAACTCTAACAAGTATACAATATACATTATATACCAACCCGAGCACGAACCCGGATCATGTTTATATTAAAGATACCATGTTCATATAAACCATGACTTTTCCTTTAACTATCCTTATGTTCTCATGAACATACTACTCATAAAGAAGTCATACTATTATTATCAAACGGTATCCAAGTAAACTCCCTTAAATAATCAAGGATTATTTAATACAAGTTCTATTATTTCAGCCAATAAAACTAACAATTGACTATAAGAAATAACCTTAAAGTCTAGTTTAACAAACACTGAACTGAATCTCAAAAGTACTAATTAATGACACTTTAAATCATCACATCAAAATGACTACTCTAATAACAAACTATCCAATAGAAAGCCAAACAGACAGTTACTTACACTGTTCACAAGCTAACTGCGCATCATGCTTTATATCTTAATGCATTATAATTCACTTGTTTAATAACCTACTAACTACTATGGATGGAATACCAGTAAAATGTATTACTTTAGCATGAATACATAAAATATACAATATACATGTATACATACTAATATCAAAATACATAGGTAGAAATGATATTGTCTTACCTGGAAATAATCAAAGATGAGGAGAAACAAGTCAGTTGGTGTACTCAGTGCTCACTCAAAATGTAGAATGACACATGTTGTACACTATGCATGCTGACCGATCTCTGCTCAAGTCTTAATCTCCAAGTTCGTCCATTTATGCTGGTAGGGTAATGTTTACTAAACTGGGGGATTAATCCTTAGTCTGTAATTCTGAGGGTAGAGTTTCTTTGTGCTCACTGGACATAGCAAACTCATATAAACTTACTAAACAATACAAAGTTAGGAACAAAGGGGTGGGCATTTAGTAACTAAAGTGGAGTGGGCATTTATTAGTGAGTCATCATAGAGTATATCTCTATAGGGGTATAACACAGCACAGAGTATATCTCTATAGGGGTATAACATGTGCACGTTGGTACTACTAGTATAATGCATGAACCTTTCAATGCAGTCCTGAATAATTCAAATCTCTCTATTTATGTCTCCCATGAATGTTGCAAAACACCTCTTAGGTTCTTTGTTATGCTACTGAGGTGGAAAAAGGGGGAATGGGATAAGAGTAAGAGACGTGTGGCATGTAAACAAGACAGAAAAACAAAATACCTCGCTATTCATTCAACTATTTGCGATTTAAGCTGTAGAAATAAGATACAATAAAAACCGCCTGGAGGCGCGGATTATCGAAAAAATGTTATTTGAACTTGAACCAGGCAACACTATCTATTTTATCAACAACATTTGGTAAACCGAATGTTTTGATGTTCCTAAACATTCTTTCATGATTGCATTTTAAGTACATGCTATTGGGATTGTCATGTCTAGAGATCCGAATAACTAGGATCCATTTATGGTTTTCAGTGAGGAATGGTATTCAGACTCAGACACACATTAAAAAAACTTGGCTCCAGCTATTTACCCACTGAATTTTGTTTCCTTACTTCAATTTTTTACGAAACAAGATTTTAGACAAAACTAAAAAATAATGAATTCAAATGATTCCAGACAGGCATAACGTGATAAATGATCTAAAACTGAATATATCCTCCTTCATAATTCAACTTCCCCTCATCCCTTTTGATCAATACCACAAACACAAGATAATATTCATCTTTCCTTGAAACCTGAAACCACCACCCATCTCTTCCTAAATAATTCAACTTCCTTCTTCTCTAGCATAATGCCTATTATGAGAAAATTACCAACTTTTCCTACACCTAAAAAAAAAATCGAATCTGCCTTCCCAGAGGAATTGCATCCCTGGATGTGGTTGGCGTGTCGACCAGAGGAAGAAGGTAGAAGAACCCCTGGTCAACATGTGTTAACCTGACAAGAGAGAAAGGTGGGAACGCAAAGTTCAATATCAACAATGGTTCGGCTGGGAAAGGGATCCTCAAATATGATTGGCATCTCAAATTGGCAATGTTAGATTGAGGGGGGGGGGGGGGGTTGGTGTTTCTCAGGACCACAAGAATGCCTGCATGACCAAGGCTGGTGTCATGTGTGGTTGCCGTGGTAGCGAGAGGCTTAGGCAAACTGACCATGGGAACCAACAAGTAGGTGTCAGAAAGTATTGTGACTTACAATGACCAAGGATAGAGAATTCAACAAGATTCTGATTTTATACTCGGCTGGAATACTACATCTTTACCCTATACAAATCGGTCTAAATCTAAAAAACATTTTTTTATCAGGTAAGTTATTTCCATTCCACAAACAAACATAAAATTTGGTATGTTCATATTCAGGAGTTAATTACCCTCAACGAAACTCTTGGAATGTTCATGGGAACTTCAAAAATCTGGTATCCCAGAGAAATTTGTGGACTTCTACGTTTCTTATACCATGGGAATGTGAATATATTTTCAGTTTATAAATAGTACAATCATTCCAGTTGACATTCATAAAGATTATGGAATGTGTCCATTGTTATGGTTGGTACGAAATATGCCTTTTCCCATCATTATTGATTATTGCACAATGCCCAACCCAGACACTTAAAAAAAAGGTCATAAATGAAAAAATTTCACAATTAAATAAAACGGCCTGATGAGATTTAAAAAAAATTAAATTTCATATATCTCCATAAGGAGACTTACTACATGTTTACAATGTATTTCTATATTTTTCAACTGAATTAAGGTCTGAGTTCAAAAAAACAATATTTTGTAAAGGTAGGAAATTTCACATTTATGTATAAGTGCTGGGTAATATAAGTAAATCATTTCTGACTGCTAAAGGAAATATAGTTTTATGACATTTGATCATAAATTTGCGGTTTTGTTTTACAAGAAGGGGAGAGAACTTGACATAACCACAAATAGAGAGAGTTCCTCTTAACCACAACAGAGCATCTACCAGTAACATCACAGCCTGCCTGGTCTCGACTCGGAATTCAGATCCTCCACCACTGAAACTGTTCTTTGTTGATGTTATTGAAACCAGAGTAAACCAGTGAGAGATCTTCTTCCAAACCAACCCAAAGTCAAAGAGAAAGTGATCTGGAGTCCTGGATGTCCTGGCACAGAGTTGTTTTGACACTGACTTCATCCAAGAGCAAAAACTTTCTCAGAATACCGACTGGCTTAGATCATAAATTTGTAAATCGCTGGGAAAATGGTGATATCACAATCTGGGAAAATACTTTCTTGTTATGAAATGTCTTCCTCTTCTCAACACTGCTCTCCTTTTCTTGTTCTACAAATTTTTCTAAATGCTTTAAAATTCTACCAATTTTATAAACTATCTTATATTCTTTAGCCTCCTGGTCTCTAGGAATTCAAATCTTCCACCACTAAAACTATTTTTTGTTGATTTTATTTTGACCCCAAGTTCAAAGTCACTCTCTCCTCATTTTTTTAAAACCAGAATCCCTTCTTTAAAAAAAAAAAAAAAAGCAAAATCCCACCCAATTAGTTGTATTTTTACTTTCTAAACTGTTTACACATGATGATATAAACAGATGAACTTTTCACACTTTCAATCGCTTGACTAGGAAGTAGAAACCACATTGTGGTTTAGAATTGTCTCATACCACCTAAATGTGAACTGCAGAATCCTGGCAACCACATTATTGACCACCTTCACCTCCGAGTAAAGTGCAATACCATCTGTCTTTTGCTTAAGTCAAATGATCGCACTTTATTTCCATCGGATAATATGAAAATCTAGTATGTACATAACATCTTAATATAAAGATTCAAAATGCTAAGAATAGTAAGAAACACCCAAAAAATGAAAATACTCAACTCAGCAGATATAGGTTGTAAAAATTCTTTTTCAAGTACAATGAAAAAGGGGGGGGGGGTGGTAAATTACGAACTGGACATCCCATAAAATATATGCATTACTAAACATGACTCGAAACTGACACAAATCTCTTCTTGCCCCATCGGGATGATGACAATTTGTTATCATTCTACTGTTAGTATCAGTCTTATTGGTGTAACTGAGGTATTTTTTTAGTAAATGTCTGATGATGTAGTTACATATATACCTTCTTTAACTGCCCATCTTGGTCACCTAGAAAGATGACAGTCCGCTCACGATGAACTGTAGCTGCTATGGATGTCAGGACAGACGGATGGGTGTATACAGCCCTTGCATCAATGGAGAAATCCCCACCAAGCGGTACATTGTTGTCGTTTTTATGGCAGTAGCTGGGTCCAGTAGAGTTGATCTCAGTGATCTAGAGATAAATGTTAGGATAGCACATTTAAGGTAAAAGAAAGAAGGGCCAAGGTGTAATTGAAATAGTCACAGTGATATAATATTATCTCAAAACGTACCAAAATGATCAAATACCCAAGAAACTAAGTTGTCTAATGTCTAAATAATTATTTAACGGCTTTCTTGTTTCAATTTCTGGAATAAACTTCCAAGTTACAAAAAAAAAAATACACAAACTCCTATACCTCTTTAGCCAATCTGAATCTTTAATCACTGCGTGTGTGATCTGCTATCTCAAATGACACTAAGAATTGAAAGAAAGACTTCATTTACAATGACAGAAGAATCAACTTACCATACTATCTGATGTGCCACAACCCACAGATCCTAACCAGTCAATGTCTGTTCTGTCTGTTTCTAGCCGAGCACATCCCAACCTCCTCTCCCAGTATGCCAGATCTATCGCAGAAAGAGGATACATACAGACAGCTGACGTATCTGAAGGAGTCTTGCTCATCATTTCCGACTTGGCAAACACCACGTAGAGAACTTCAGATCCAGGTTGCAAGTCATCAGATCCTAAATCTGACCCAACGGTGCCAACGTAGGCTGACTGTGCAATGTTGTACAGGGTCCTCTCATCCTGGCCATAGACATAGCAGTGTAGAGGAAGCTCAATGTAGGAGTAGAAGTGGTCATCTTGTTGACACACCCGAGATATTTTCGTGTAGTAGTTGCTTGGGCTATCATATACCTTTGGCTGGAGAGCGATGAAGTAGCTGAAGCCATTTGCTGCAAAACCTGAGATGTAGGTGATATTGAACTTCTGGCTGCTTGGAGAGTCATCAATGGTACCTGCTGGTATTCGGATCAAAGAAGGATTCTGAGCTTGAGGTCCACCTCCATTGTACACTTGAAAAAGAGATGAACTTGACAGATCGGATGGCAACTGCCTACTGGACATTGTCCACTCGTTGCCCCTAAGCCACTCTGACGTTGATGATCCAACGTACAATGTCTTCATGTCATCTATTCCATTTGCTACAAATGCCACAGTGGTGCCATAGTCTGTGTTCACAGATACCTCTGTCATAGAGATGTCTGACAACACCCCCAATGTGTCCACGGCCAATATATCGCAGACTCCTTGATACACCGTCCCACATACTATGAGACGATCATCATCCACGAGCAAGACTTTGTTAAAATTGTCTGTTGCACTTCCACAGTTTGTGGATCTTGGTACACATTCTGGGCCGTCTTGGACAGGCCCTGTCACTGATTCTTGTTCTAGACTCAGGTTGCTGTTCAGTTTATAAACTCTGTTCACCGAGCCTATGAAAACAGTGTCTCTTTGTGCATCTACCGCTATCGTCTGCAATGTAAATGCGGTGTTCCCCTCGCTAAACTGCGGATATGATAAACACGGACTGAGAAGTAATGACAAAACGTGGAAGAGAAGCATTATGTGTACTGTCCTGCTTCTTGATGATCTGAACATCTTGCATATATGCCTCACCGTCACTGACCCTGTCTCAATGGTCATGCTTATCCTTGAGTTTCCAGTCTCTTCCTCTGTATAAGCCATCTTTGTGTTCTTGGGTTGTCACTGGCAGTGGTTAGGAAAAAACTTCATCTGACCTAGGAATATACAAAAGGAGAAAAAGAGAAACAATTAGTCAAATGAAAAATCATCCACAATACATAACATTTATGATTTGAATCACCAAACTATTTTCATAAAATTGAAAAATTATCCACAATAAATAATATGTAAATGATAAGAACAACCATAGGATCACGAAAATAAATCTTTCCTTACAAAGTCAATCCAGCTCTTTTGCGTCGAGTCCAAACTCCACTTTCTTACAACACAACCCAACATTGCTTACTTTTCTTCTCAGAGAGAAAAAAAAAGACGCTCATTTTGCATAGTGTGATATGACCCAGCTGACTGGAAGTGGTTAGAGCTCCGTTACATGTAATCACGTTTCCTATCCTCGGGCTGGAGTAGTCACAGGTAATTATAATCTGGCTTCCTCATAGCGGGAAGCATAACCAGCACTGGTCTTTCTAACGTCTTGATTGCAATAATTATGTCCTGTCCCTCCAAAATTTACCAATTTTTTTAACAGGGTGATTAAAGCATCTGTTTGTTCAAGATAATTGCATGAACTAATGACAGTTATTCCTTTCTTCTTCCAAGTGGAACAGTCAGGAAATGAGAATGTCACACACGATACACTAACCTGTAACTCATCCCATGGGATACGATAGTATGCATTATTAAGTAAATTTGGATAATTAACAAAGTTCTTAGAAAATTACTGCCTTTCAACTACACAATTAATATTTAGTGACTTGCTTTGTTTCTACATTAAGATAATAACATATTGTACATCCAAGAAGCAGGCCTACATTTAACTGGCAAGTCTCTGGCAATTCTACAATTCTCTGGTAAGATTTTATTTCTAAATGTACATGTACATGTGGAACTTTGCAAAAACTTCCCTCAATCACAATCAAGAGTACATTTCTCCAAAAAGGAATACAGTAAAATCAAATTTAACCTACTACATGTATAAACTAACATTGAGTGTTAATCCTACTCATACAACACAAAAGTTGAAAATTATAATTATAACATTCAAAATTTCATAAACATATTCCAAATTACAAAATTAACTTGTCCTTTCATGGATGAATGAAACAACACTCGATCTAAAGCCAAATTAAAAGTATTCTAATAATCCTTAATAAGCAGTATTTATTAAGCCGGAAGGCAGAGATGTCCCTTGTCAAGGTTAACGACCCCTACGGGACTCTGATTGACTGACAAGCAATGATCATAATTAGGCACCATGGGTCATTTGTTAGCAAATTGGCAATCATCACACATGGTTTGAAAAACAAGTCATCCCATAATACAATCCTGTGTGATTAATACAGAATCTGTCAACAATTTACTAACCAACTCATACTCAATCAGCAATTAGTAACAGGTCAGTTCCATTCATACAACTCACTTCCTATATTTTCATCACATGATCGCACTGTCCACAAGCGGAGGACAAGGAGGTTAACCTAGGTATAGTTTCTTTAAACTGAACTCCAAATGAATGATAAACATTTATATACCATCTGTTTGAAACAAGAAGGACATTAACTCAAATACTTTTATCACAGAGTCAATGCCCTTCTGAAGTTCTGGCTCAAAACAAAAGATGAAAATAAAAGTATCTTTTGGGAATAACTAGAAGTGCAAATAAATACGATTTGAATGATACCTTTGTCTTTTCCATATTGCAATTTGCGAAAATGGTCAAGCAAAATCTTTTAAAAGAACTACATGTAGATGTCACAAACAAAATTCTATCTACCACTGATGTGTATGATTTAGGGAGATGCATCATACATTAAGTAGATTTTTTAAAAGCCATATAACTTCTCACCTGATTATGGGAATCTAAATCAAGGACACAATATCTCCAATCTCCAACTTTCAAGAAGACAAATAGCAACAATCCACAAGAACAGGGCTCACACCAAAAATGATTCCATGGACTATAATAAGTCGGTTCATAAACTACATGTAACTCCAACAATGCCCAGTTCTTATTTCACGCAACATTCCCGGAGCCCACAGTTGCAGCAGAGTGCAGACCAACATGCTTTAACAGGCAATGCAGGCATCAAAAGAAAACAGCAGTCAAAAAATGATTGATATACATGTACCAGTAGGTGATGTAGGGCTTATAATGTTGGGGAAAGGGGCTTACCATAATAATTATCACATCAGATCATTACACATCAGATTATTATCACATCAGATTATCTCATTGGATTATTATCACACCAGATTATTGCTGCAAAAATTCCTGCTACACTATACACAATCACAGCCTAGGTGATTAAACCAGGGATATGATATATCCCTGGTTAAACTATGTTTCTTATCAGATTATAAATCAGAGGTGATGACATTATGTAATCAGAAAGCTCATGCTAGTATTCCTGAATGCCCTGATAGTGACCCTTGCATCAAGTACAAGGCAAACAAACCTCAACTAGATTGCTTCCTGTGCTTCCTCTATATTGTTTTACCGAGATTACCTGATAAGGTCCTTTGGAAACACAGAATCGGGGAATGTATACAAAGAGTTGATAGCTTCCAGGGTTTAATCACAGAACTAATAATTTGTAGCTCCAAGGTTTTAGCATAAGGTTGTATCACAATATATATCCCGCCATATCCAATTAGTTGCGGCATTGCAGGCATCAAGCCAGTATGTGTAAGTTAGAATGCAAAGCATTGGATCTCTTTCAGGCCCATGTCCAACAAATGTCACGTGATTATACTTTGTTTCTTTTTTAATAATTTGTATGTACTCATCATGATTGGAGTCGAGACTTAAGTTAAACGTAAATTGAAAATACATGTGTTTAACAAAAATGGACCAGCAGAATGATTGTGAAAGTCGCCAAGTGAAATGTCCTTTCCCGTTACAAGGATATTCATTATTCAGCCTTCCTAACAAAAAAGGTTACCAGTATTTATAACTGAATCATCTATCTAAAAATGTACTTTACAATGAATGAACAGGATTTCAATGCTTTTCTGAACCAATGATTGTAATCAATTTCTTATGAATTGAAACAAAAATGGTTTTCTAAATCAAATTTGCCTCATCATTTCTCATGTCTTAACCTATTTTTTCATGAACAACTTTTAAAACTTCATTCACCCTTATGAAATAGTATTTATGAGCGCACTAAAGTACTTACTTACCAATGTTCTTGAGTCCCCCGGAAATATCCATAAATTTCAATTCCATCTATGACAACCTTCACACTGTTCTATTAATGCTACAGTAACAAGTCTCTACCTGTAGACTAAGATTTCTCTCAGAATACACTTGCTATCATTTCAAAGTCTTCACAAAAAAGGGGGGGGGGGTACGGCTATTGTGACCCCCTACCAATAATACCCTATCAATCATACCTACAGCGCTAACTGAGAAGCCCATTATATCTATTCATCTAACCTGTTATTGAAGGGGGCAAATATTGTAACAGCATCTTTTCAAACATTAAAAAGATGAAAATCACTTTGTGTACAATAGCATAATAAATATCATTGCAAATTTGTTGAGTGAAAATGAAGGCCGACATTGGTTTGAATTATTCTGAAAGTGGTTTGCTTTTATTCTCAAGATAATAGCCCAGCAATTTAGACTTTATGGACCATACTTCCTGCAATGGATTCCCCCTTTTCTGGTCTCTCCACCGCCCCTAGGACCCTTTCCTTTATTCAATGATCTTTTCACGGATCAAAGGGAAATTTCCAGAACAATATGAAACTCAGAAGTGAATTGCGACATACACCATTTCACGCATGCCTCTGGGTGAGTTTTTTTGCGGTCATCAGCTTTCCAGCGTTAGAATCCACCCTTTTTCTCTCTCTTTCTTTCTCTCTCTCTCTCTCTCTCTCTCTCTCTCTCTCTCTCTCTTCGCAGGTCATTTGCTTTTAAAGATTTAGTAGGTCCTATCAGAGTAACATCGTTAATTTTGTTATACATGTATTTCTACATATTACCATCTATAGCCCTTACAATATTTCCGATCATTTAAGACAATTTCATTAACATAAAATCACTGATTTTGTTCCCCCTAATGAATATTACAAAGCAGTAGAAATGTGATTTTTTTTTTTCTATAATGAGTGTAATCAAGGGACATCAACCATTCTGTTGTATGTTCTATTTTGTCTTAATACAAAGAAAAATGATGACCATATTGCAACAAATATTCATCTGGTTTCTTTTAGTTGAATATTTGAACATTCCAAGTCCTCATAGTTAGAGAACAAAAACGATGAAGTAAAGTACTAAAAGTAGGTTATTTCGCATTTGAAATCTGCACTGGAATACACAGGCCCATCATAAATTTCTTTTCTTGCTTTTATTCCATTATATTCTCCTTTTACATCCAATGGCTTTGAAGATACAAAATTGAATGATTCTCCGTCAAATTTTTAGTACTGCATTAGTACTGCTTTATCTTCAATGCACCTGTGTTCTGGTTTGCATCAAAATGGTATTTTTCTTTTTTTATCGCATCTTATTCTTTGCCTCTGCCTAGAGTTAAATTCATCAATATCATCAATGATTGTTCAAAGCATTGTCCATCTTTACAATTCTGGCACCATCCCCAAATGCAAGACCCCCGCTTGAACCCAATCATTGAATGTCTTCTGGCGGGTGCACAGTGGGTTATGAATGGAAATTCAATCCTCGCCCATTAGGAAAAATAGATCTTTCTGAGACAGACAATTTTATGTCGAGGACTGTCTGACAGTCTCCTCGAAGTTGTCATAATTTTCTCACTTGCTCTATTTTTATCACCCCTCCCACATCATTAGATTTAGAACGAATCCCATTATCTCTTAGTACATTGTAGACTTCAGAAGGTTATTGCCTTTAATGCATGCCATTTCTATTACATACAAAGAAGTGTGTTTATTCCAGTTTCTCAACGGGATGTTCCACTATTTGAATGTTCATTCAGTTATGGGGAGGTGATGACTGATGACGCCTGAAAGTACACTTTCCCCAGTACACTTCCTTTGCCTCTCTCTATCTTCCAAGGTGTCTCCACTCAGGTATACACAACAAATCTTTACTTATAACTATCTACGTTTCAAAGAATTTATTATCTTTACCTTTCGCTCGGCTCTATCTCTCTCTCTCTCTCTCTCTTTCTTCTTTACTTTCTGATTCATTCTCCCAAATCAGTAGGTCGTTTCTTTTCACAAACTGCAGGGATGAATGGAGGGCGGAGATGGCCGATTGGAGCTGGCATTGGCATGAGCCCAACTGCAAACTGGCCACTATTGTACGCTGGCGTCAGCCAAAGACAGCGAACTCTAAATCGAGGTCATCCACAGCCCCTTTCAGAATCAATAGAAAGGTTTGATGGAATCTCTCCTAGTGATTGTTTTTTCTCTCTTTTTCTTTTCACCTTTGCTAATGATCCTGTTTCCCTTAGGACTTTTAACACTCGCATTCATGACTTAGGAAGTATCCTGACTTTTCCGTTTAATTATAATGTGTTTCTTTGAAATTGAGCTCAGGTAACTCATGAAGACACCGATCTACTTTCACCTATTTTTTAACCATCCTTGAAACCTTATTTCTTTATCTTGTAAATGTACATGTACAGTACACCTTCACCGTTTCTTACACAATCACTTATCCAAATTTGTTATAAGTTTTGGTCTACATTTGTATCAGAAGTGCATGAAGGTCTTAATTAAAGAATTCATTCTGAAGAACAATGTGGATAGTCCTACATTACTAACCTGCAACAAGATGTACATACACCCTGTAGTATTATCAAGGGAAGTATCCATAAAAAGGTTTTATTTCCTCTGCATTTTCAAAGTGAACGCCCTTTTGATTTATTTCCACATTTAAGGACTACATGTATATACTGTAACATGTCTTAATTGTAACTGTGAATTTCCCAAACCACACTCTGCAATGGCTGTTTGTATAGTCTTGGTGACCTACATGTCCAATAAACCTCAAAATTGAACAAATAAGTTTCTTACATGAAGAAGAAAACAGTGTCCTTAACTACACAATAGGATATTCATGACAAATCAATTGAGTATTTGGATAACCGTGTTTGAAGTTTGTTGATGAAACCTATTATACTTATTACCTAGTCTAAATTCACAATTCAGTTTGGTCCGCTTACAATAGAAATATATATTGCACTCAATCACGAAAACCACCAAGTTCAAATATCTTGGTAATACCTTGAATAACAAACCAATCAGTCATAATTATTCAATACAAAACGAATACAAGGTTGAAGGCTACCCTAATACTTCATTAGAGATAATTATAGGGAAAACATGTCAATAGAATTTAGCAGCATATGCAAAGTTGAAATGCACAAGAATAAGTCCCATTTGAGAGTCCACAAAAGGATGAAAATAATTTTCATATTCAAAGGCCATTCAGCAGACACCTGGACATCCGGTACACATTTATCAAATGAAAGCATCTAAAGGAGATACTGTACACCTAAAGAAAACAGTATTATCATACTCACTTAAATGACTTGCATTCAGGGGCGGAAATGTAGAAAAATACCGGAAATATAATATAAGCAACAAAAGAAAGACAATCATAGCCACATAAGTTCTGAAATCCCTGACCAGTCGGAGACTTGGAGCATTGAAAAAGGTGCAAGCCAACTGTGTCGCTTCCCCATCAATGAATAACAATTGCTGTCAACAACATGCTCTCTGTCATCTGTATTTTCTCTCTCTCACCAATCAATCAATCAATCAATCGGATCTAACCTAATGGTCCAGATTACTATCAGGACAAATATAACAATACCTTTTGACAGAAAGTCAAACAGTAATTATTAGAACTTTCCATATAAACACCGCCCTTTCGGATAGACGAAATATGTCATTCATACGAGGAGAAGGACTTTATTGATTTATCGATCTGTTTGGTTCCAGCAACATGCCTCAGACAATATTGATGAAAAGATAAACTTGTGTCATTAAGTGGAGACATATGGCTTAGGTAATCCATACTGGGAGGATTAGCTTTTATTGGGGAGCAGGATTATCTGTGCTTGTTTGCAAACATTACGATTGTTCTCTGTTCATCAACTGGGTAAA